ATTGCCAATTATGCCACAGGTGAGAACTTTCTTTCTGAACTTCTTGCAAGGCAAAGATGGAGTTTTCTTGAGCAAAGTAAAGTTGCAAATCTTTGAGGCCAATATTTGATAGGCAAGGAGAAGATGCCATATGTATATGCTCTTGGTAAAGAAGCAACATATTTGCTTCAATTAAAGTGATAAGTTGGTTGAATCTGTATCTCTAGGTCTCTATATATGCACTTGGTTTTACTCTGGGTAATCCGATCATTTTCACTGTGTTACCTGACCAAGTGTATCAAAGGCTAAAGGCCAAATTTTCACTAACCATCATCCAGCTTTCCAATCTCATGGTTCGGTTAAGATGGCATTCCCATTCATCATGTAGTCCTAGATAGAAGTGCATTCTTTCTGATTATCCTCTTGTGTAAACTGAGCCCAAACAATTGATATTGAATGTTCTTCTAGATTAGGGACCTGATTTTGAGTACTCTAGCTGCACTTCGAGAATGACTGGAGTCTCTTTGGGACATCCCTCTTGCTGACACTTTATCTAAAGTCAGATGAGACACAGTCTAGAGACCATTTCTCAGATTCACTAATGCATCCAGTTTGACTAGTCTAAATCATTATGACATCACCACATCATAATGAAATTTATGAATTCCTATGTTAAATAAATAATAATTCACAGGGTATAACAACGCAATGTATATAAGGAAAAGAAGTTAACTAATCACTAGAGCACCTTGTACTGCAGCTAATATGACTCAGCAAACATGGCTAGAAATAAAAAGGTCTTACAATGTTTCTAGCATAAAAAGGAAAGAAAACTCCTACCATTGTCTTGGTCAATGTATTAAATCGCTCTTTCATTAGAATAATTCAGACTTTGCTAGTTTGTGTGGTATATGCATGCATTTGACATCTTTTGTAGCAAAAGAAATTTCAAGCTACTTTATCAACAAATGAGAAAAAAAAATTCAAGCTAGTAATAGACTCATTCACAGTGATGTTACGTAGATTCGTTTTACATTTTTTATAGTAAAAGAAATATCAAGATATTTACATCCTTCACAGTAATGGAACATGGATTTTTCTTTGATGATATCTGAGCAAGTTTTGATGGTCTATGTGCCAATGATGATAGAAAGATGGGATTCCTAGAAAGATCTATCTCATATCATTTGTAGGAAAGAATTTTCGATGTATTACATCTTACTTTCCAACATATACTGGTTGGAAGAACTTTTTTGGCCCTTCAAGCTTCTCTGTATACCTAACTGCATAATAAATACATGCTGATTTGCATGTACTAATTTAGGCATCTCAGAAGTTCTTTTTGATCCTTGTTTCCATCGGACGTTACTATCAATGTTGGTTCTTCATATTGATTTTGATGGTTACTCCTGCAGGCTTATGTCACGCATGCCCTTAAAGTGGAAGGCCTTAGAAACATAATAACTGTACCAGCAAAGCTGGAGTCAACCATCCTTGTCTTTGCTCATGGAGTGGATCTCTTTTTCACTCGGCTTGCTCCTTCAAGGACCTATGACTCTCTTACTGAAGATTTCAGTTATGCATTGCTTCTCATTACGATAGTTGCCTTGGTTATAGCAATTTTTGTAACATGGATTTGGTCTGAGAGGAAAGAGTTAGAGGAGAAGTGGCGGTGACTCAAGTCCATATGCTACTCCACTGTCTTCTGCCCTGTAATTTTTAAGTCCTAACATTTTCTTGTTGCTTATTTCATCATAGATAGGAAGTTAGGGGTAGGCTGTTTATCTGTTATTTATCAGGTAAAGAGATTTTGTAACAGAAACCTATCTTTACACATAACTAGGTTGTCAGCAGTAACATTTTGTGATGACAAGCACATGAGTTGACATAGAAACTCTTTCTTGTATGGGCATGATGAAGCCGAAGGACTTTGCATTTTGTTAGATGCTTTTGCATAAACTCAAACTTTGTCGACTATCATGCACTGATATTGTGTTCTTTATTGAACTCTTGTTTTATCCGAACATTTTCCACCGGGCTTCAAGCCTTTTGCTCATCATGTCTCAATTTCTGTGCTATGCGTAAACCCATGTCCAATTGTACAGGCAGAATATGTTAAGAGAGTCATTGTCTGCTGTGTTTTAGCTGCCTTTTTAGCCTTGTTCAAGGGATGCGCCCTATGCATATTTGCTATTTTCCGAAAACTACTTCCAGATAATTTGACCAAAGTATTGAAAGTTGAAATTGAAACACTAATTCTTGAAAATAAGTCATGTGCCTGTGATAGTTACCGAATGATAGTGTTCAATGTTCATGCTTTATATTATAGCTTCTAAAACTGCCAGTACTGAAGCTTTGTCGAAAATCAAAAACCATTGTCAAAAACGTTTATCACAGATCATTACCACCATTGTCTTTTGACCTAGTTTCTTTCTTTTTTCTATTTTAATTTTTACTAGTTGCAATTCAAAAAGAAGGTAAAAAGAAAGAAAGCTAAAAGCTAAAAGGTAAAAGTGATTGTTATTTCATATCAATTTATCATAAAGCTTCGGAGCAACTCTGATATATGCATTATCGATTCAGTTCAGCACATTGGTTATTGGTAAGATTAATCTGAATTTATATTCAATTTTGTTCTTAGTTTTGCACGTGAACTTTGGCTTTCAATTTATTCAAAACAACTGGAGTACATTACAAAATCAGTTCATAGGCAAAGGAAACCTCAGAATTGCAGCAATTCCTGTCAGCTCAGCAAGTCTTTGTCCTGATTAAATTGGACTACTGTCCCACCAGCTTTCTTAATTGATTTTTCCATCACTAAGTACTTTTGTCTCACCTTATTGTCCTCATTTTTCAAGATTTCCTTAGTAATTAAAAGGGTCTCAACTGCCATCAACTCATGTACATATTCCACATCTTTAGTACCATGAATTCATCCAACACCTTTGTGTCCATTGCACTCTTTGTATCCTTCATCATACCCATCACAATCTTATCGTGCAATATCTCCTTCACATTATTCTTATTCACCGTCCATTGCACTCTTTGTATCCATTGCACTCTTTGTATCCTTCATCATACTCATCACAATCTTATCGTGCAATATCTCCTTCACATTATTCTTATTCACCAAAAGTATACGAAATCTTATCGTGCAATATCTCCTTCACATTATTCTTATTCACCAAAAGTATACGAGACTTGTATAATATCCATATCTATACGCTTCTTGAATGAAACAAAAAGCATTCTCGAAAAACCTATTAGAACCCGAGTTGTTTTTAGTAAGTTTATCACCTTGTATTGTTGCACAATGAATTGTTGCACTTTGTCCGATCAAGAAAATCTGAGCCAATCCTTCATTAAAATAACAGCTAAATCAGACTTTGGACCACCACTTTGTTTTTTTCTAACTCCAACGTGTGAAAAACTCCCGACTTGACATGATCATTCGACGTTATGGTCTTGCCACGAACACACATAATGGAACAACTTTTGTCATAATCAAAACTTGTGATTCTGATTTCTGAGTTCAAGTTTTACCCTTTGATGTGTTTTTTTGGTTGGTAAAATCTGGAGAGGTTTGGATTTTTCTTGTGGTAGGGGCAGAGATTATGTCACCATTGGCAATAATATTGTACAAAAGCAGAGATTATGTCACCATTGGCAATAATATTGTACAAAAGCCATAAAGCTTCATCGTGTTTAATTTTGTGAATGTATTGAAGGTTTTTTTTCTTCTTGTGTTTTGTGTTCGTTATTATACGGTTTAAATATGTGTTAAGTTAGACGATTTAATTTCTTTATTAATGTGGGATTAGGGTTGTTCCGTATTTTCCTTTTTTGTTCGGTTTATGATTTCTGTTTTCTTACGGTTTTCTAATAACACACTTTCCTTCGTATTGTGGGATTAAAGTTTACGCTTCCCTAAAGAAAATTAGGGTTGTGACTTAAATATGAAATTAAAGAAGAACTTTAAAATGATATATCCGGAGCTCGTTAATTAAGGAGTAGAGTACATTTATATCAAAATTGTGTTATAAAATATTTAGTAAATGTGGATGTCCACCACTCCCACTACTTTTACCCATGATGTAAATAACCGCCCACTACTCATCACCATTATGATTGTAACTCCCGCACCTCCACAACCCCTCCCCATGATCTTCCCCCATGATCTCAATTGTTAATGTCATGTGTAAGACAATCATTTTGTAACCTTCATATGTAATAGTATAAATAGATGCATGAAATGTGAGATGGAATACACTTGAACACTTGATGAAATAAGAAAGTTATCTATTCTTCTCTTATTCTACTTATCTTCTTGTTTTATATTGTTACTTTGAGCTACATTTCTTAACACGTTATCAGCACGAAGTTGAGCTCATTTCGTTGTTCAAGTATATTTGTTCATTTTGTTTTCTCCGTTGTATATTTTAATTTCATGATTAGTATCTTTAATATGCAATTTTATAATTTCTCACATCTCTAGATATGTGTAAAAATAATGAATTCTATGTTTCTTTATTTTAAGTTATTTGTATGATTGTCATGTGAAAGTTGCTAATTTTCATGTTAATAGAATTAATTGAGAGAAGAATACTTATTTTATGTTGTACGACATTTGAAATTGTGTTAAAGTTAGAAGACATTTTTGTTCTAGTTAACATCAAAGATATACTAATAATTTGAAGAAACAAATAGTAATCTTTTCTATGGAATTATCACTTTAGTGTATATAGATCACAAATTTAATATTATGTCAATTTTTAAGATTCTTTACGCAATTATCCTAATGATTTCTAATTATTTATCATCTTTGATAGTTTTCACTATGTCCCATTTGTCAAAGCTTGAGTTTGTGGCACTTGATATTTCTGAAAAAAATTACCTATCATGGGTTAAAGTTAGAAGACATTTTTGTTCTAGTTAACATCAGGGAGGATGTGGTACAATCGTCTTAGCGAGTATTTGCTAAAGGAAGGGTACAAAAATAACNTTCTTTGATAGTTTTCACTATGTCGAATTTGTCAAAGCTTGAGTTTGTGGCACTTGACATTTCTGGAAAGAATTACCTATCATGGGTTCTCGATGTTGAGATTCACTTAGCCGCTAAAGGTCTTGGTAACACCAATACTCAGGGTAATGAGGCATCAAACCAAGACAAAGCGAAGTCCATGATTTTCCTTCGTCATCATTTGGATGAAGGTTTGAAGGTTGAATATTTGACAGTGAAAGATCCACTTGAATTGTGGACTGGCCTGAAGGAAAGGTATGACCACCTTAGGGCTACAGTATTGCCAAGGGCTCGATATGAGCGGATGCACCTACGTTTGCAAGATTGTAAGACCGTAAGTGAGTATAACTCTGCTGTATTTCGAATAACTTCCCAATTGAACTTATGTGCGGATGTTATGAATGATGAGAATTTGTTGGAAAAGACTCTTACGACTTTTCATGCCTCAAATATGGTATTATAGCAGCAATACCGTGAAAGGGGTTTTAAAAAGTATTCTGAATTGATCTCATGCCTTCTGGTGGCTGAGCAACATAATACCCTTTTGCTGAAAAATCATGAAGCCCGTCCCACAGGGTCAGCTCCGCTTCCTGAAGCGAATATGGCAGCTAGACGTGATAAGTCTGGAAAAAGGCAGAATAATAATCATGTCCATATGAATGTACGTGGGCATGGCAATGGTAAGAGACGGTATAATAGTCGTCATCGTGGTGGTCATGGCAAACGAGAGAACAATATGGATTCTCAAAACAATCCTTCAAGAGGCAAAAACGGTAACTGCCACCGCTGTGGCATGAAAGGTCATTGGAAAATTGAATGCCGTGCACCTGAGCATTTTGTCAGGCTTTATCAGAACTCCATCAAAAGAAAGGCAAATAATGTTGGAGCATCTTCTGCTAATGCCCCAGTGGAGTCTCACTTGACTTTTAAAAATGATTTTGAGGCAGGGCCTTCAAACAAAAAATGATGACAATGCCGAGGCAAATCTTGCTTTGAATGATGATGATTTTCAAGACCTCGATGATCTTACTCATTTGGAAGTTGAAGATTTCTTTGGAGATCAAAACTAAAGTTTGATCATTTTACTGGGGAATGCAATTATGTTGTTATTTTTATTTTCAGTATTTTTGTCTCGTTTAAAGTTATTTTTATTTTCAAGTAGTACTTAAGTTGTCTTATGTTGTCGTTGGTGATGTTAGTTTTTCCGTATTTCTCATGATGTACTTTTATTTTTATTTTTTTAATGAAGAAACTAAATTACCCAGTCTTCAATTGGATCCAAGATGAGTAATGAAGATTTATGTCTTTTGGATAGTGCTACAACTCACACAATATTAAGAGAAATTTTTTTTTCTCTTATTTGGTTATGAAAAAGGCCTATGTTAATACAATATCTGGTAGTACAAAGTTAATTGAGGGCTCTGGAAGAGCGGCCTTATTACTACCTGGAGGAACGATATTAGCTATTGATAATGCATTGTATTGTAGTAAGTCTCAAAGAAACTTGTTGAGTTTCAAAGCTATTCGCCATAATGGCTACCATGTTGAGACATTAAACGAAGGAAAGGTTGAACACCTTTTTATTACTACAATAAAAGCAGGAAAAAAATATGTGCACGAAAAATTACCCGCATTTTCTTCTGGGTTGTATCACACAAACATTGGTGTGGTTGAATCAAATGCATAGTAAACAAAAGGTTTACTACTAATAATTTTATCATTTGGCATGACCGATTGGGCCATCCCGGTTCTAACATGATGCGCAGAATAATAGAGAATTCAAATGGGCACACATTGAAGAACAAGAAGATTCTTCAATTTATGGAATTCTCTTGTGCTGCTTGTTCTCAAGGAAAATTGGTTATTAAACCATCAGCAGCTAAAGTTGGGATTGAATCCCCTACATTTCTGGAACGTATACAGGGTGATATATGTGGGCCTATACACCCTCCATGTGGACCATTCAAGTATTTTATGGTCTTGATAGACGCATCTACAAGATGGTCACATGTGTGCTTATTGATCACTCGTAATATGACATTTGCGAGATTGTTGGCCCAAATAATAAGGTTAAGAGCACAATTTCCAGATTATGCAATTAAGACAATTCGTCTTGATAATGCTGGTGAATTTATATCTCAGGCCTTTACATATTATTGTATAGCCGCTGGAATAAAAGTTGAGCATCCGGTTGCTCATGTTCATACTCAAAATGGTCTAGCAGAATCATTGATTAAACACCTCCAACTAATAGCTAGACCATTGCTAATGAGGACAAAACTTCCCCTTTCAGTATGGGGACATGCTATTTTGCATGCAGCAGCACTTGTGCGCATAAGGCCAACCAGTTATCATAAAGTCTCCATATTACAGTTGGCTTTTGGTCAGGAGCCAAATATTTCCCATCTAAGAATTTTTGGATGTGCGGTATATGTTCCAATTGTTCCACCACAACGCACAAAGATGGGTCCCCAAAGAAGGTTGGGAGTATATGTTGGTTATGAATCTCCTTCTAATATTAGATATCTGGAACCTATGACAGGAGATTTGTTTACAGCCAGATTTGCTGATTGTCATTTTGATGAATCAGTTTTTCCAACATTAGGGAGAGAAAATAAACTGCTGAAAAAAGAGATAGATTGGAATGTATTATCTCTATCTCATTTGGATCCTCGTACAAATCAATGTGAACAAGAAGTTTAAGACATCATTTATATGCAAAATGTTGCAAATCAATTTCCAGATGCATTTTCTAACCTTCCACGGGTTACTAAATCGCATATTCCAGTTGTAAATGCTCCAATTCGAGTTGATGTCCCAGCTAGACAGTATGATAATGTAAATGAGTCTAGGCCATGCCTTAAACATGGTAGACCAATCGGTTCCAAGGATAAGAATCCCCGAAAAAAGAAAGGAGCAAATGATCAAGTTGATCATAACATGGAGGCAATTAATTGCTTAAGAGGAGCATAAAGACATAGTAATTGATAAGACCTCACAGGAGGTTCTAGTACCTGGAAATGATGAAAATAAAGAGATCTCAATATGTTATGTCTCTACGGGAAAAAGGTGGAACTGAAATAACGTTGTTGTTAACAACGATTTTGCATATAATGTTACAGTTGAAATAATGCAACAAGATGAGGATCTTGAGCCAAAATCTGTCGATGAATGTAGATAGAGAAATGATTGGCCAAAATGGAAAAACGCAATTCAAGCGAAATTGGCTTCACTCGAAAAACATGAAATTTTCGGACCAATAGTCCAAACACCTGAAGGTGTCAAGCCAGTGGGGTACAAATGGATTTTTGTGCGAAAACAAAATGAAAAAGGTGAAGTCGTAAGATATAAAGCACGACTTGTGGCACAAGGGTTTTTGCAAAGGCCTGGCATTGATTATATGGAGACATATTCTCCTGTGGTAGATGCAATTACCTTCAGGTATTTAATAAATCTAGTAGTCCATGAAAAGCTTGATATGCGGTTGATGGATATTGTCACAGCCTACTTATATGGCTCACTAGACAATGAAATTTTTATGAAAATCCCTGAAGTATTTAAAGTTCCTGAAGCACATAAAAGTTCAAGAGAAACTTGTTCAATAAAGCTTCAGAAATTCTTATACGGATTGAAGCAATCAGGGAGGATGTGGTACAATCGTCTTAGCGAGTATTTGCTAAAGGAAGGGTACAAAAATGACCCTATTTGCCCTTGTGTCTTTATTAAGAGGTCTGGATCTGAATTTGTCATTATAGATGTGTATGTTGATGACTTGAATATCATTGGCACTTCTAAAGAGCTTCCAAAGGCTGTAGAGTGTTTGAAGAAAGAATTTGAAATAAAAGATCTTGGTAAGACAAAATTTTATCTTGGCCTACAAATTGAGCATGCACCAAATAGAATTTTTGTCCATCAATCAACATACACTGAAAAGGTTTTAAAGCGATTTTACATGGATAATGCACATCCATTGAGTACCCCAATGGTTGTGAGATCGCTTGATATAAATAAAGATCCATTTCGGCCTCAAGAAAATGATAAAGAGCTCGCTGGTGATGAAACTCCATATCTTAGTGCAATTGGGTCACTGATGTATCTTGCCAACAATACCCGACCAGATATTGCTTTTGCAGTAAGCTTATTAGCAAGTTTCAGCTCCTCCCCAACAAGAAGACATTGGAATGGTATTAAGCATATATTTAGATATCTTCGGGGAACTGATCGCTGCCGACTCAACACTACTCTAAAGTAGGAAGAGTGGGTCGCAACAACTTTTACCCGAATAGTGGTTCGGGATCGATTTTCCACAGGGAGCTAGTAGTGGAGTTGTAATGTCTGTTCAGTCTAGAATTGCGGTTGTGCTTCTAATGTCTCTTCCAACATATTTGGTTTTGATTTTTATACTACTATTATAAGACTAATGATTGAAGCTAAATTATGCTACGGGAATATTGCTAAGCTGTGATTAATATAGAGAAAGGCACTAGGGTCGTGGCATTGCCTAGGTGGCTAATTAACGGGTAGATGCTACTAAGGATAAATTGACATATTTGGGGCTTATGCTATAACCGTTGCACAATTGTACCCACTCTCACACCTCTCGGTAGAGAGAGTGATTTTGTCCAATTGACTCTCTCAAGACCAATTGGGTAGGCTAATTAGACCAACCAACTAGGGTTCAAGTAGGGTGATTACTCTCTCGAGGTTTAACCCGTTAATTGGGACTACCATTTCTCATGGGTCCATCCCAATTCCTTGTTGGGTCAATTTTGGGGTTATAGACTCTCTTTCTCAAGAAGAGTTGAACCCACTAAGCTAGAATCAGTGTTTGCAACTACTAATCCTTAATTAAAACCTAAAATTAACCCAAATAGCAAACACCCAATATCAACCTAACCTTAGATGGCAACACCCATGAATTACCCACACTAGGGTTGAGCCACAACCCTAG